CTTCCTTCCTTCCTTCCTTCCTTCCTTCCTTCCTTCCTTCCTTCCTTTCTTTCTTTCTTTCTCTTTTTCTTTTTTCCTTTCTTTTTAAGAATTTGGAAACTGATCGGGTGCAGGGCAGCTGATAGCTCGAAACCCTGGTAGGATCACTTTCCCCTTTCGGTACAGGTCATCTCGGATGCCTTGGTTCATCCTCTGCACCAGGAGCTTCTCGTAGAGCAGGGGATGGTAGGCCCCCAGAGTGCAGGCTGCATCATAGTATAGTTCATGATAGTGGCAGAGGTCAGTTTGTCGTACAGATGGAATATATTCATAAACGTGCACTTCTCTGCACAGTGACATCATGATAAGTATTCCTGAAATGGAAACAAAAAAAAAATCAGATGCATTTTAACTCAGGAAGACTTGGGTGGGTAAGGATTTTTAGACTGGCAAGAAACTCTTTCCACCAGGTCAGAGGTTGAGAGCTGGAAGTAACCTAAGAAGTCATTTGCTCCTATCTCTTCATTTTACAGATGAGGAAACTGAGACCTAGAAAGATGAATTGCTTTATAGAATCAGAGATTTAGAGTTGCATAGGACCTCAGAAGTCATCTGCTCCTCATTTTACAAATGAGGAAAATAAGGCCCATAGAGGGAAAGTCACTTTAGGATCATAAATAAGAGATCATGGTATATAACAATAAACAGAGAGCTGGAAGGCACCTCACACTTTATCTAGTTCAATCCCCTCGTTATACAGATAAGACATTAAGATGAGAGAAGTTAAGGTCACACAGGTAGCAAGTGCCAGAGGCAGGTTTTAAATCCAGGGCCATTTGTCTTTCCACTGTACAACCCTTAACAGTACTTTCTGTCACCTCAACACTATCACATTGATTACTTCTATCATATGATTTAAACACAACAGGTGTGTGATGCTAGTATTAAATACTAGGAGGAGAGGTCCATGCCAGTGAATGGGAATCTTAGACCCAAGACAAATGATGTTATAGCTAAGATTAAGACGCTTCTATTGATTGTACTTCCACAGGATAGCACCTTTATCTTTCTGTCACTCACATGACTACAACTCTAGCTCAGGCCGTCATCACCTCTTGTCTAGACTATCGTAATAGCCTCCTCACTGATCACCCTGGATTCATTCTCTTCCCTCTCCAATCCAACTTCTACATAGCTGGCAAATCGATATTCCTAAAGCATAACTCTAATCACGTTACTCCCTTGCTCAAGAAGGTCCAGTGAATCCCCATTGCCGCCAGGATAAAATATAAATTCCCATTTGGCTTTAACAAAGAGCTTGACAATCTAATCCCAATCAACCTTTCTGGGCATCCCACTTGTTGTTTCTTACCCATGAAATTCCACCTCCTATCTCTATGCCTCGTGCCTAGTGTGTGTCTCTCCTCATCTCTGCCTCATACAATCCAACTCTTCCTTTAGGAAGTCTATTCTCATTCCCCAGCCCGTTCCCAAACCCAGTTCCCAGTGCCTTCCCCATTGGAAATTCCTGTGCGTTAGCTGTGTGCATACTAAGCACTTACAGGCTCTTTTCCACAAAGAACACAAGCTCCTTGAGGCAGGCATTTTGTTTTTGCTTTCACCCACAGAATCTAGTACAGAGTCTGGCACACAGTAGGCACCTAATAAATGTGTACTGAATTGAACTGAATTATAAAAGAGAGGCCAGAAGTTCAAATCATTATGCATTTCACCTTTTCCTATATCTCTATGTCACTGTTTTTTCTTCTTCTCCTTTCAGTTCTACAAGTGTTTCCTCATCCTCTTCCACTGCCAACCTGCTTCACCATGCCCCTCTAAGGTCACAGTGATTCAGCTGGGCCAAAGGAAGAACAAGGAAGCGTCACATACTGTTCAAGACCTTCCTGAAGTCAGCAGAAAGCAGTTGTGCCTCCTGAGCCCAGAGTGCAGTGTGGCCCCAGCCTCAGAACACCCACCAGAGAAGATGGACGAGACTCCTTTGTCTGAATAATTTATTTCTCACCTTCATCTTGTCTCGTTTAAATAGCCTCAACTAATCTTGACAGTATTGATAACCTACGTGCTGTTCCCTCAATTCAAATAGTGTGCTTTTTTTTTTTTTTGGATATTTTGGTTAAAATATCACTGAAAAATATAGGTATTTTTGTTCATTGGTGATGATGACTTTACCCCTGTGGAGAATAGGTGAAGCTTTGTCTCTAAAGACAAAGCTGTTGTTTGTCCTTCATTTTGAAGAGGACCAATGACATCATGAACTGATGTCTTGATTTAGGCATGAATTGGATTTAAGGGAGGCAGAATTGCACAAAGTCATCAGCCTCACTCTCTCCTCCAGAGTCATTGGAGTCTAGTGGCAAGACAAAGGTCAAGATAACTGGCAATGGCCCAAAGAAGTAGGAGGTTCCAGATATTTTTGTATTAGAATTCTGCTTAATGGAACATGGCAATTTGACTATTACAACAGGAGGCAATGCTGAGCTGCACAAACTGAAATTAACCATCATACCTCTTCCAGGTGGGCCCCTCACTGAAGCAATCATTAAAGAGTGATGGGAGAAGGGTTAGATGAAGTGTCTCATTGACAACCCTAAGTGATTTTTCCTGGAGGGCCCGGTGAAATATCACCCTGTCTTTTGCTTAGTAAAAGGAAATTGTTTTGTTTGTCAGACCTGAGATTTCATCAATGTAAGGAATTCAGTGAGAAAACTCCTTTTACTAGTACAGTTTTTAGCAACTAGCCTGCAACTTATAGACTTGGAGAGTTTCTGGGGAATAATGATAAGTTAGATGGCTTGTCCAGGGTTACCTGGCCAGTATGTGTCAAAAGAAAGACTTGAACTTAGGTCTTCATGATTCTAAGTCAGTTCTCTATCCACTACTCCACTCTGAGTCTCACCTAATATAAGCATGATGGTAAATTAAAGGAATTTTGGAAGGGTCTATGTATGATTCAAGACAGCCAATCCTCTGAGAGACTTATCTATGGATTGTCTCATACTATCTGCTAGATATTGTGCATAGGAGAAAAAGAAAACTAAGAATCTCACTTAAGGTAAACTTTGGACCAGTTACAGACAAACAATGGCCATCAGACACAAAATTGATTATGTAGATTTAGTCTGGGCACCTAGGTGCTTCAGTGGATAGAGTGTCGGGCCTGAAGTCGGGAAGACTCATTGAAATCTGGCTTCAGACACTTACTAGCTGTATGACCCTGAGCAAGTCCCTTAACCCTGTTTGCCTCAGTTTTGTCATCTATAAAATGAGCTGGAGAAAAAATGACAAACTATTCCAGTATCTCTGCCAAGAATACCCCAAAGGGAGTCATGAAGAACATGACTGAAACAACTGAACAATAACAATAAGACTTATTCTAAAGTGTATTTTTCTCATACTTGGACTTCTGACTTGTAAAAGAAAGTTTTAGAGCTGTTGTTGATTGTATTGTTATACTTCAGACCTACAAATTCAATGTTAGTGGTAGTATGGTACAGGTACACAAACACTACATTTGAAATCAGACGATCATGGGTTGAACCCTCGTTGTATCATTTACTTCCTGTGTGACCTTGGGCAAGTCATTGAACTTCCTTGGACGTCACATTTTCCTTATCTGTATGTACAATAAGGTTAGATGGATAACAGGTCTTTTGAGGTCCCTTCTACCGCCATAGCTAATATATATATACCTAATTGTGCTATATATATAATCCTGAATTAGTTTTTGGGTGTGGGGACAGAAATGTGAAGAGATCCCATGTTACTTGGGGAAAGTGAATTTGGCTTGGATAGGCCCTGTCATATTGAAAGAAGGTATTAAGAATATTTACTATCGAATGAATTTATGTTTATGGAAGTATACTGACTCATTCCCCCCATAGGATGGTATAGGAATTAGCAATGATAAGGTAATCTATAAACATAAAAATACAAAATGGAAAGAACGTGGCTATTTTGAAATAATTATCCTCATATCCATCCAGCAGAAGACTCTTGATATGGACAGCAGTTCAACATCTATTCATGCTCAAAAAATCAGAATATACAAATGATGTTTTCATCTTTCCTCCCCAGTAGCTCCTGTATGATTTAGAAAATGGGATGCCATTTTGTATTGTGCTATTTGATTAAGGAGAAAAATAGTCTTTAAGGAACTTCTATAAAAATATTTTGTTTACCGAGTAATCAAGTTTAGTTTCCTAAAGTTTTCAACACTGATGAAAGCCTAAGCACTTTAAATGCTGAGTAGGGCTTTTGGCAGATACAACAATTTAGAAGTTTCTGGGTATGGTTTTAAATCAATCAAATGGGTAGAGTCATGCTTTGGGGATTTGGCAAGCTGTTGAAAACCTTTAAACAGATTAAATTAATGTTAAGTTTCTAATGCATCCAATTTGTATGAATGAATCCATACTAGAGATTCTATTGAAAGAAAGAAATGTGTTAATTTCTTCTGGGCAATTTTAATGACTCAAGAGGATTTCATTTGCCAAAATGCATCTTGTGAATAGTGCATTATGCCTGTTCTTAGCAGACTAATTTTTTTTAAAAAGCATCTAGACTAGTTATAATAAAATGTTTTAGAATGAGTATAAAAGATGCTTTTATAAAAGAATATAAAACACTGAAAGATAATTCAAAAGGTAATACTGAAATATCCTTGCACCCTTCTGACATTAAAAATGTTTTACTTGTCTTATTAATTTTTTCTTGATCACTTAAAATTCACAAATAGACACGCACACAATTTCCATGGACTAAACTATGCTTAGGTTGCCAGTTGCATGTGTACATATGTTTATATATAGTACAAGATGTGCAAATATAAGTATGTATGTGTTTATGTAGAAGTATATATGAATATATTTATACAGATATATACATGTATATACAAATATACATATGTGTGTACACAATAAATAAATGTACCATAAGCTTACATATAGTACAAGAAAGTCAAACACTAATACATAATATATTTCTAGGAGGTTGTGTTTACTTGCAAAAAGTGAAGTGGAAAACTGAGGCAATTATGTGGATAATTCAGGCTGATACAAACATTTTCAAATTAGTCGTTAAGACATTTACAGCACACTGTTTGACCTGAACTGTCCAAATATCACTAAATCTAATTCAAGCTAATAGGTGGGTAATAATAACTGAATTACAGAATTGCTTTGAGGAAGCCAAAAAAAGCCCCTTTGGGATCTGCTTAAAATGTTCAGATAGGACTGGTGCTAACTAGATATGAATTCAATATATGAAAATAAGTGCTTCTAAAATGTATGAAAATAGTTTATTCGAGAAAGGGTCTAAAGAATTTCTTTTCCATCTTGCTTATAAATTTAAATTATTTGGAGTAGCCTCCCTCAACACCCAAGGAAATGGGGCAAGAGTAACCTTTTAATCCATGTTAAAATGATTATGAATTCTGAATTAGTGGAGTTTGAATTGGAAGCAATTCTCTATTTCACTGGGACTGCATACAACCATGTTATTTCCACAGACTGTAATACCATAACCATTTAACCAGTGGGTTTAACTGTGATTTTAAAGGTCTGTTCCTGTTGGATAGATTATCTCACTTTCTGCCAGCACATTATTTAAAGGGTTATCTGAAGCCATTATGAAAAAGTATTGAATATATGATATGCTATGCTATGATTTGGATTATATATATATATATATATGTATATATTATAGATATAAATTCAAACATGATACAAATTTCCAGAAATGCTCTCATATCAAGTCTACTACAATTTGCCAGGCACAGTGAGAAGAGGAGGAAATATCAAGGAGCTCAAAATCTAATCAAATTCCAAGAAGGAAACAAACCCATGTCCCATGTAGGACAAGTTAGAAATGAATAGAGAGTATCTAAAAAAACACCACAAAATATTTCTGTGCATAAGTGGGATTGATAGAGCATGAGGAAGAATGGGGTGGTAGAAAGATTTCTGGAATTAGAGACAGAAAATTTGGGTTCAAATACTAATTTTTGCAACTTACTATACCATCTGCATGACCTTGGGCAAATTATTGAACATCTCTGAGTCTAAGGTTCTTCATTTATGAGATAAATGGGTTGAATGAGATGTCTGCTAAAGTCTCTTCTAGGGCTATAATTATCTTTGATGTGTTTGAAGCCCAGAGAAAATTCAAACCTAATAAATGTCATGTATTGAGAGAGTTCTGGATTTAGAGTCATGAAGACATGGGCTCATATCTTGATTCTGCCACTTACTACGTGTTTGACCTTGGACAAGTAACTAACCTCTCTGGACTTTGGTTTCCTCATCTGTAAAAAGTGAAGGTTGGACTAAATGACCTCTATGGTTGTTTTCAGCTATAAATTCTATGATCCTATCATATCTTGGAAGAACTATTTCCTCTTATCTGTTTTACAAAGCAATGAAAAACACAGAATGGAGAGGAGGTGGGCTGTATTTTAGAATTTCTTCAAGGTCAAAGTAATAAGAAAAGTTGATGTCTTTCCCCAAAAGTATGTATAATTAAAAGATGATTGATTACTCAACTTTAACTTGGTTCATCAAAAATTAATGTTAGTAGAAAAAATTTTTAAACCCTATCAATATATAACAGAATCATACATTAATATAGCAAGGACCTTTGAAAAGAAGCTTCAGGTTAATTTAGTATTGTATTTTTTGATTACAACTCATATACAGGATCCATCACTTATCTCGAAACACAAAATGCTTTTACCCAAGTCATCATAATTATGATGTATTTTGTAAAACCACAAATATAAATGTTAAGTGGCTTATAATGTACTTTAATGTTTGGAGTTTCAAATGATATATGGGAATATTAAAATCCATAATGTATAATAAAGTGGAAAGATAAAATCACATGGCTTGCATTTTTAAGTATGTTTTCTTCTTGCTGTATTAAATAGCACTACTGTTCTATATTCAACAATCAACTATAGGCAAGGCAAAATGAATATATACCAGTTCTTGCCCA